TTGGCCAGTATGCTGAGTCTACAATCTCCTCCCACTCATCTATGCCCCCCAAAGTGTGTGTGATGGGGTGGACTATCATAAAAATATTATTCAGAAATAGTAACACATAGGCTAACTTCCCCAGACTTTGTCAATAAAAAGTAATGGCGTATTCAATGGTGACTTTCTTTCTCACTAATTATAAACCATAATACAGTGGTACCTCGGGTTACATACGCTTCAGGTTACAGACTCTGCTAACCCAGAAACAGTGCTTCAGGTTAAGAACTTTGCTTCAGGATGAGAACAGAAATCGTGCACCGGCGGTGCGGCAGCAGCAGGAGGCCCCATTAGCTAAAGTGGTGCTTCAGGTTAAGAATAGTTTCAGGTTAAGAACGGACCTCCAGAACGAATAAAGTACTTAACCTGAGGTACCACTGTATAGCTACTTTCTCTGCTAACAGCAGCAGTTTCTTCTTATTATTAAAATAACCCTACTTTTTCTTTTGTTAGGAGTTTATTATTACACAAACCAATGAAGACAAAAGATTAAGGAAAGCCCCCCCCCCCTCCTGTCCACTGCCTTGTCCCTGGCTAAAAAAATATGAAAATATGTTCAAGTTCTATAGTACCTTCTTCACTCACTCTGGCATGCCATTTCTGTCTAGAAAGGCCAATGTCTGTGTTCTGATGCTGACTCCTGTGGACTGAAATCTAGGTCAGGACCTTCCACCCTTTTCTTCTTGCGTGCTTGGGAGCGGTGATGACTGATTGCTGCAAAGTGAGCTCAAAATCTAGCATCTGAAAAAGATGCTTAAGGTATTTGGCCAGTGCTGGGAGTCCTGCTGTTTAAAGTAAACCTTGAAAAAAAATAGCACCTGCCAGATACTCTAGGAGTTGGATTGGTGGGGATGGGAAAGATTTCCTAACTATTTCTAGCTTATTTAGTTCAAGTGATGTTTTAAAAGATCATTATCCCAAACTGAACGTTTGGCAGGAGCACTAAGGCATACAGGGAGCTATTGATGAGTACAAACCATCCAGTTCATTCCTAAATTGGAGCAACTCTCCAAATGCAATGAGGTTATGTATAAATAAAGCAAATGAAATGGGGATATACATCCCCATTTGAGAATGTCCATATGGTCATAGGAGCTGCATGTGTACCCTAGAGCTTCAGCAAGGACAGAGAATCAGGGTAATTCTGTATTCAATTGCAGGACAAAAATGGCGTTCGTTGATTTTGCTGACATTATATTTCTACAGAAAGCAGTGCAGAATCCTAGGTTTCAGCTGGGGAGGAACTGATTGTGGAATGGACTTGGAGTCTACTGCAAATAAAAATTCTTGGCTTTCCTAGAAATTGTTCCGATCCTTTGCCCGAGGAGAAAACCTCTAAATTGAATTGTCATTGTAGTGAAATTTTACTAGTTACTCTAGATGAGATTCACATGTTTTGTACCAGCTGTCTTCTAGTCAGCTCTCTGCAACTCAGTTGTCAAATGCAGATGGCAATAGTAGATTGTCATTGCAGTGGCCTGTTTTCAGCTCCCTCACAAAGGGATGTTATACTGATGTTCTCAAGCAATGGAACTAAGCCTAGATGTGTGATAATTCAATTGCACATGTTTTTAGAGAGGTATGGATGAATCTCAGTTTCTGCATCATTTTGCATTTTTTTTAAGCAGAGAAAAACAGAAGAAAAATCCCTATGAAAATTTATCCTGTCTCAGTTGAAAGGGGCAATTACAGCAGCCCTTTCTACCAGCACAGAGACTTCAGAAGCTGGTGGCAAAGACTGTAGGGCAGCTCTCTCTGGGTGCACCAGGAAGGTCTATGTTCACTGCTGGTGGGTGGGGGTGGAGCAATAAAGAGAGGATCAGCCATGATGGGAATGATTAAGTGGCAGTTGTTCATCTCAGGAAAATTCAGGTGCAAGAATGCTAAACATGATGCTTGTTTAAGGACTTTCTGGGCCAGCGCTGGGAAACATGGAGGACTGTGGTATATGCAATTGGGTTAAAATGTGGTGTAAACATTTTCTTTCCCCTAGAGCAGTGAAGTCTGAGAGGGGACATAATAACACTTTTCAGATACCTGAAGGGCTTTCACAGAGATGAGCCAAAGACTGGTTCTCTGCTCCCCTACAGGGCAGGACTATATTCCATTCTTTTAAGGAAATAATTTATTGCTTCAAGCTATCTTGAAAAGTGGTTTGGAAAGACTGTAAGTAAATTAATAAGGTGCATTCCCCACATCCTTTTTAAAATGGACCCTTTTGCTGCCTCTGGTTTCTTCACCTGCCTTCCCATTTTCTCACTTCCTTCTGTTACTTTGGTTTACCATGAATATCTACTCAGATACCTCACTAGGCAACTTCTGGTCTTGTAGCAACACACACCTCATTTTCCTTCATTTGCAGCAGCACTTTAAGCTTATTGTTTTAGCATTAATGTATTTAACTCTCCCATCACTATTTGCTCTTCTCTCGTTCTTTTTCCTCATATTTTCCTGAACTATTCTTGTTCTTATGCAGTGCTAAAAGCCTATGTGAGCTAATGCAAACTGTGATTCTAGGTCTATTGATATGAAAGACAAAGGCTCAACACCGATTCCCTGAAAATCATGGTTTGTAAATTGTGATACAGCCTGAGGAATGCATGCACACACATCTTCCTCCCAGCTCTGGGGCAAATTTCCACCCCTTTTTTCCTTGATAGTTTCAGTTGTGGTTTATGTGTGCACTGATATTAACCATGGTTAATGCAAACCATATTCTTTCATAATAGGGCAGCAGACATGGTTTCATCCATTTTAACCTCTCAACCACCCCCATGAGGAAGGTTAGACTCCCTGAACAATCCTGTAACAAGATCCACCAGGAAGAGCAGGGTTAGGATGCCGTGGATCTCTGGCTGAGCTGGAAGGTTCGTAGCGCAGCTGAGCTATAGCAGCGAAATGCTCATCCTTGGCTCAGTTGGAGATATGCTAGCATATCTCCCCCATTCCAGCTCAGCCAGCTCAACCCAACCTGCTGACCTAAGCCTGGTGATTTTAAGCCAGTGTTTAAGCCCTGTAAAAATGCCATCATAGGGGCAGAACCAGAGAGGGGAGACTAAGGCTGGATCCTGAGCCTGATCAGCTCAGTCACATGACCTCAAAACACGACATAAATGAAGGTGGCAGAAATACAGGTGGTGTAACTCAAACTGGATGATGTAACTCTTAACTCTATTTTAGATATTCTTTTTTCCTCTGCCTGGCTTAGAACAGCTCAGCCCGTGGTAGCCCCACTGCTGAACGGAATTTGGAGCCAGTTTATTTAACACAGGCTTAACTTATGCTGGGTTCTTCTGCATAGGATTTCTGCCTAAGAGAGAATGGATTGCCCAAAGTCACCAAGTGAGATTTGAACCTGAGTCTGGTCAGTTGCAGTCTGTAGCCACCTCTATAGTCACTGCATCATGCTGGCTGTCTAAAACTGATACAGTGGTACCTCGGGTTAGGAACTTAATTCGTTCTGGAGGTCTGTTCTTAACCTGAAAGTGTTCTTAACCTGAAGCACCACTTTAGCTAACGGGGCCTCCTGCTGCCGCCGCGCTGCTGCTGCGTGATATCTGTTCTCATCCTGAAGCAAAGTTCTTAACCCAAGGTAATATTTCTGGGTTAGTGGAGACTGTAACCTGAAGCATCTGTAACCTGAAGCATATGTAACCCGAGGTACCACTGTATATAAATACTGCCATAGCCTGGAACAGGCATAGTTGAAGAAAACAGAAATTTGATTTCAATAGACCTCATTTGCAAAATGAAGTGTTTGAGATCACCACCTGGTGATAAAAGCAACTATGAATGCTGAAACATATAATTTGCTTTTGTTAGTTCTAATATTATTCATTCTCAGACAACAGAGAATATATGTTCTATAACTGAGGGAGGATCCAATAATTTGGATATGTTAGGATGCACTTTCTTTCCACCTAGGATTGCATAGCACAATCTGTTTAATCACTATATTGAATAAAGCTGTAGTATTCTATATGTTATTTTTGTTTTAGAAAAGTGGAGGCTTTTGTTTTTAATATTAAAAATTATCCCTTGCTTCCATTACTATTTCCCCAGAGGTGCAAATATTGAGGGTTTGGTGATATGCAAATCAATTTATTGGTTAAAAGGCAGATGATTTATCTACTACAAATATTTATTATGTGAGTGGAATATTTACTTCCAGAAAAGAAAGAGGAAGCAGTCTTTAAACCTTTTGTTTTTATATGAACTGGAGCTTTAAAACTGTACAGGGACTTGGAATGTTGCACTAAATCCCAAAGTGGTACATTAGTCACCAAAGGTCAACAGATGCAGCCAAAGATCCATGAGAAATTAATTTTTCATGTGGCTTGGCAATTTGTCACATGCAAGCACAGTTCTTTTATACAGCTATGCATTGGGGGGCACAAAGAGAGAGAGGATGTTGGAAGAATGTATTTTAAGTTGTCAAAAACTGGTTCCATAGATGTCAATTGGATTTTTAGACATATAGCAATTATTAGGAAATCCACCTAACCTATCATTGCAGAACCATCGTTCTCATTAGCTCTAATTGAGATTGATTCTAATTAACGGGATGTCTACCTTAATGCCAATGGGATTTTAAATCTTAACTAGCCGTTTTGTGGATGGTGGCACATTGGATACCCTCCCCTTACAACTGTTAAAATCAGCTGGGAAAGTCTTGCTGCAAATCCTTCTATTGGGGGATGAGATCAATGACTGGTAGGAGCAAAGCCTGGGCAGGTGCTGCTGTCTGAAGAAGTCAGTGTATCTTCCTATAAGTTTTGGGACAAAATGGCACATGTTTTGAACTCAGCCTTGAGTTTAATTTTCTGCCTGCTCCTGTTTTTGCTTGTTGATTGTGTTTTCTTCGTCTATTTACTGGGGTTGGATTTTGTTTGCTGACATTAGATGCATTGATTTTATTGTTTATTCATCAGGATTTTGTAAGCCATATTGCATATATGGCCTAAGGCGCATATAGCCACACATAGTTAGAGGTTCCTCCTCTCCACAGCACATATATAGGAGGAACCTTTAACTATGTGTGGCTATATGCGCCTTAGGCTATATGCAATATATATACTGTGTGTATGTATGTATGTATAGATAGATATAGATATAGATGATATAGATATAGATATATAGATATAGATATAGATGATATAGATATAGATATAGATGATATAGATATAGATATATCCCTAAACTTTGAGGGAAGAAAGTGACTTTGCAGATCCTGAACAGATTGCCCATGCTTGTACTAATCTACTGCAACAGTTTCTCAGCAAAAGGCAATTGTCTCACCTAATTCTGATGCTCCTCTTCATATTCATTTGATATTTGTTGTGGAATGGGCACTCTGCCATTCTTCCTTTTCTCACTTTCCTGTGGAAGTGTAACAGTGTTAATAAAAGCTATTCTTAACTATCACTTTACAGTCTTGATTAGTTTCAGTATAATTTCGCTTGGTGCCCTTGGAACAAACAAAAAGGCGAATGCTTTTATAGAAGATAAATGCATGTATTTTTAAAGGAAGACTCCCCTCCCTCCCTTCCTTTTCTTTCATGGGTTAAAACTACCTGCAAAGTGCCTGCTTGTTCATTGCATCCTCGTCTCTCCATCCAGCAGGGACCATCAATCATTTTGAAGCTGGTGATATTTTTTCTGCAAGATGCTCAGGTCTTTTCATATTGAAGGAACCTTGATTTAATCAGAGATTTAAAAAACCACCCTTTTAACTGAACACAGAGGACCCCCTTTTTTGAGTGATATCACATTTCCACTGTAAAATTAAATCAGAAATATTGCAGATGTATGGTAGTGAAAGAGACACGCAGCCAATTGCTTTGTTTTCTTGACAGAAGCAAATCTGAATTCTAGCAATGAGCTGTTTTTGCTGACTGTGTGGCACAGGCTGACTTTGGATCTTGGCAGTTTTTCTGTGAGCAGTAGATTGCTAATTTTATAAACTTAAAGAGAATCAGATCAGACATGGAGCTCCGGAAGACACTAATTCATTAGTTCCCTGCTTGGCAGAGAACTGTTTCCCATCAGGGGCGAGCCAGGCTGGCTTCCTGTGCAGGTGGAAGATTTCACTGCTAGGCTGTTCCTTACATTTTCTTTAGAGCTGATTACCATTAAAGTTAATTAAATATGTTTATTCTGGCTGCAGAGAGTCATAATAAGAACCTGCTTTTAATATTTATTCACTGCTGCTGTTTATTTATTTATTTTGTTAATCTCCCAGTTTGTGTGTGGCTATACAGACAAGCACCAAGGCATAAAGTTATCTCTGAAACCCCTACCCCACACCCTGACAATCCAGTCAACAACCGACTTGATCATTTCACATGAGGGGGTTGCTCAAATATTTTCCTGGCAGTCTACCAGCCTGCAGAAACTCTCTTCCTGCAGCTCCTATTTGACACCATGTCAGTCATGGGCAGTTTGTTTTTATCAGTTCTTGGGGTGTCTTTCAGTACAGTAACTGACTGAGAAGCATAATGGACTCTGCCAAACAAGCCTTAAATTGCTAGTCACCCCCCCCCCACACACACAACAAAGCGCTCAAACAACTGGATATAATTCCAGGCATTTGTATGCTGCTTAAGAGTGTTCAAGGTGCTTAAAATACATGTGTGCAGCAGGCAAAGGTTCTGCTATCTTGACCAGGCAAGGCTATAAGGCCAGCTGTTTCCTGATATTTATTCTTCGTCTGGCCAACTGGTAGGTTTCAGCCCAATGGGATGCTACTGCATAGCCCCGTTCTCTTCTGTGAGAAACCTTGGCCAAAACAGTCTGTGGTAGCTTGGTAGGCTAAGTTCCCCAGCTTCAAACCATGAAGCTCCTGTGGATGATTTTCAGGGGGTTCTGGGTCTCATAGTGCTGGTTTTGGTCCTGTGCCAACATCAACTAAGGGTCAAACCAAACATCACATTTAATACATTGCCTGTAGCTATGTATGTGGTTTTTTTCTTACTCAAAAGGAACTGTATGGGGTTGACTCCACAGTGGGGTATAACCTTTCCCTCACCAGCTGTGAGGGAACTAAGTCCCACTGAATTAGGTAGGACTTCCTCCTAATGAAGTTTGTACTGTGGTACCTTAGGTTACATACGCTTCAGGTTACAGACGCTTCAGGTTACAGACGCTTCAGGTTACAGACTCCGCTAACCCAGAAATAGTACCTCGGGTTAAGAACTTTGCTTCAGGATGACAACAGAAATCATGCTCCGGCGGCAGCGGGAGGCCCCATTAGCTAAAGTGGTGCTTCAGGTTAAGAACAGTTTCAGGTTAAGAATGGACCTCCAGTTCTTAACCCGAGGTACCACTGTATAGGATTGCAGCCTCAGTGAGGAATGCCATGTTTCAGAAGCAAAGAATCCAAAAGTGTGACTGGACTCATTTGAGAACAGTAATCTTTACTTCCCAAACTTGATGAGGTCTGACAAGGTCACACTTGTCACATACTGTATATCGTTTCAGAGTCTCAGTGGGAGGTAAGATTGCAAAGCATGACTTCTGAAGGAGGGAACACTTTCAGTATCAGCTTGCTTGCCTCAGGGCCCAGAGCTAAGGTAGAATGGAGATTGTATTAGGAAGGTCCTCTTAGATTACAAAATTACGAGAAGAATCTGCATTTACAGGCCCACTCACTGTGGAAAAGAAATATTGAATAACAAACCATTGCTTTCTGATGCCACAAGGATTCTTTGTACTGAGCTAGAATGGACCCAAACACCTTTGATTGCCTTTCGTTGATGTTGGATCCGCAACAGGGGCTTGTTATCTTGCAGAGGTACGAAAGCACTTCAGCTGTAAAAATTCAAAGGAGACAAGAAATTTCTCTAATTGGCCTGTAACTGTCTGGGGGAAAGCAAATATATTGCATGTAGCAAATGTCTCTGTTTTAGTAGCTCATATGCTCCACTGTCCCTATGTTCTGGTACCTGTCTTGGGTAAAATCACCATCCCCGTATTATTTCTATTCTGCTTTTTTGGAAGATGTTGGAGGAAATGCCTTTTAAATACATTTACTTGTAAATGTACAGTAAGCCTGCAACTTATGTCGGGGTTACGTTCCTGGGTTTGCGGTTAAAGCCAAAATTGTGTATACAGTGGTACCTCGGGTTACATATGCTTCAGGTTACATACGCTTCAGGTTACAGACTCCACTTATCCAGAAATAGTACCTCAGGTTAAGAACTTTGCTTCAGGATGAGAACAGAAAACGCACGACGACGGCGTGGCAGTAGCAGGAAGCCCCATTAGCTAAAGTGGTGCTTCAGGTTAAGAACAGTTTCAGGTTAAGAACAGACCTCCGGAACGAACTAAGTATTTAACCCAAGGTACCACTGTGGTCAAAACACATTGTGTTCAATGGTGGGTGGAACTGCCAAAGTCATTTTTCACAGAACTTTGCCCCCATTTTAATGTTTTTGCTATGTGTGTGAAGCTGAATGCACACAGGTTAAATGCGCCTAAGATCCAGGCTTACTCTATATTAGCAAACAAGAGGGTCTTGCAACACAATGTTGCAGAATAAAGTGCTGCCTGTTGGGAATTCCATTCCAGCAACTCCCATTTCATTTCTCTTCCCAGCCATTTTCTGCTTCTGCAGCCGCCAGTCAGCATTCCACAACTACAGAGCATACTCAGTCCTCATTGAGCTGCTTGTGGTTGCTTTTCTTCTGCTGCTTTTAGAGACTTCTTTCTTAAAAATGTGTTTGTGTGTGTACTTCTGCAAATCTTGGAGTTTTCCCAAGCCTGCTGCAACCTCTCTTATGTGAGTGAATAGTGCTGTTTTGGTTGCATGAGCAATGGCATGTGCAGTTTGAAATACAGAGAATGATATGTCTTTATGAAGAGTCTCACCCGCCCCTAGACCTGCATAGAAGCGCTGATCTCAACTTCCCATAAAGTCACTAACAAAGGCTTTCAGTATAAAAGGCCCAGATCAGCAAAACCATTAAGTCATTGCAGCTGTATGCTGTGTTTGGAAAAGACATTTGTTTGAAGGGTGTGTGTGTGTGATATTGTTTTAGAATCTTGCCTCTGAGAAGGAATAAGAGGAGATTGATGTCTTGATGGTGGTGGCAGTGTCAGAAGCAGGGTGGTTTTAATGTTTGCTTCAGGTGAAAGGGAACAAAATTAAGGAGAAGCAAGCAGCTTCATGAAACTGACAAGGTCTCAGCTCAGATGTTGTGCCGTGGCATGCCTAACCCAGTGGCTGCAGTTGTCCTACTGAGCAACCACACATGGGTGTAGCAATTGAACAAGGGTGCATATGTGTAAATTCCAGTGTGCCCAGGCACCAACTGTATGATTCACATGTACAGCAGATGTGTGCACCCTATTCAAATTGTACACCCATGTGCGGATGTCCAGTGGCTTCAGAAATGGGGTCCAGTGGACTAGGGAGAAAACCATGCTGTTGCTTCCCCATCACATGCAAGAGGAATCAAGATATCATCCAAACATGTTTGGTGTGTCACAAGTTGTGCAGCATTACAGATACTGGGGAAAATTCTTTATTTTGGGAACCTGGAATGGGGACTGGTATGGAATCAGGATGTGGGCCTTGGCTAGTCTAATGTATCTACCCCAAGCTTAGGGTAGATAGTTCACTTTTATATTTGTAATATTTCAGCCTATTTTAGTATTATTTATAAAGAAAACTTGCATCTCTCTCTCTCTCTCTCTCTCTCTCTCTCTCTCTGTGTGTGTGTGTGTGTGTGTGTGTAAGGACTATATGTGGTTCAAAACCAGAGTAACATCTGGCACACAAAACCGAAATATAAAATATGCTATTTATAATTTGACTTCACAGCAGTTTACCATCGTGTTTAGTGAACACCTATTTAAGTAGTCTGATAGGTGATAATTTTCCTCCATTTCCTTTTGGACTGTGTGACTTTCACTTGTGGCACTCCCCCCCCCCCCCGTGACTTCCTAAGTGTTTAAAAACCTCTTGTAGACAGCTTGTTCTCAGCTTTCATGGATGGCATAAACATATCCAATGGTACTACATGAAGTGAACAAAAATTAGCTAGTATGTCTGCT